GAAAAACTTTTGGAATTTCCTTGGCGAACGTAACATTATCTTTGTTTAGGGAGAATGTAAACCTCGACATAAAAGCGTTCCTTGTTTCGGTGGTTACACGTAGTAATATTTTACTGTTAACTTGGTTTACATCTTTCGCTCCCCTGCAAAGGAGTAACGTCTGGTACAATTTAGGTTTCATACGATGAACATAGTTGTTTGATCTTGCTTTTAATGACTCTTGACTCTGTTATTAACATATTCTATGGAAAAAACAAACAAAAAACTAACATCTGGCGGGGTCATCGTTCTGTTCAGCGCTGATCACCTCCAATGAATGAGATCATCAAGGTATACTGCCGCTTTACTCAAAAGCGGAAGGAACTTTATTTTCAGTCCTGGCGCAACTACACATCTGCAGGTCAACGTACTCTCTATCTTTAATTTTATACATCTGAACGACATCACAACTTAACATGTTAACGGTTATACAGTGAATGCTGTAGTGCAATTAAATCGAAATAAAAGAAAAGGGGGGAACAAAACGTGTACCATAAAGAAATTGTAAAGAACAAACGTATGTATTTAATGTTCCAAACTTTTCGAGCTAAGCCGTCCTTCTTTTGATGATTTTAAATTTTGAAGGATACATCAGGACTATACGGTAGAGATAAGTTCTTGCGTTATGATTAACAGTTCTTCAGTATAATAGAAAACGTTAAAGATATGTTCAGGGAAACATGTACCTCAAAAATATCTTAACCATGTATTTATTATATACATGCTAGCATCTTGCAGCATTTACTTCATCAGCATAACCCGATAGTGGTGCGACGTGCGTGTCACAATTCGCCATGCAGATCTGAATAAGGATGGTTGGTAAGTTACTATGGTTTCACATTGTCAAATTGAAATTGTTGCCGAACTGCAGTCATTCGTCCGATTGCTTTAATCGCTTTTATAAAGATATGTTACCTATTCAACTATTTTAAGAGGTCCAATTCTTATTCTTTTACACTGAATACCTCATTGTATCATTAACAACACAATGTGCTGTTTGGTGCGAATCTCAAGAGTGAAGCTGTTTTCTGAGGTAAATTTGATTGAGAAAGCGACGTTCCCTAAAGTGTTCTGAAGAAATAAAGCAGCATCATTAATGTTGCCTATTCTTTACATATATCTATATGTATACAGGTTACTTGCGCCGAGTAAATGATAATTCAAACACTGCTCTGCCACGAAGTTCAAGAGTGTTTATAAACAATTAGTGTATATATTAACAAAAGGCAAATCTCAATAGCCATGGCACTTGGAATTCTATTAGGCAGGATTAGAGTAAATTAATCTACGAGACCTTTCTCTCTTCCCCCCCCCCCCCTTTGATTAGCTATATTTTTGTGTGCCAGCAATACCTAGCGTGAATCTGATTCGATTTTATTACTCATCAAGATCTCTACCAGCCTACCCTCATATTGAAATTCTTTTAGGCTGGACTAGAGTAAATTAATCTATTAGACCTTGGGCATGGTTAGGTTAGGTATGGCGTGTCCACGACCCCAAATCGTTGCTATGAAAACAAGTTTCAAACCTCGGCGGAATCTTTGGTATCACAGTCCGGGCACGTTATTCTTAGGCCACGCTCTGTCCAATTAGTGTACAGTAAGTAACTTTATGGGTTTAGGCAAAGCCGATACGTAAACTTAGCAAATAATAAACACCGGAATGTGATGAGTAAATTTACTTCAATAGGAAGTAATAAAATATTGAATTAAAACGGCAGGATTTAAGATGTATTCTCGTAGTTGTAATAGTAGTGAGAGTCAGTGATCCGGTATTTGAATACAGAGAGAGAGAATTTTGGCGATTTCTGCAAAGCAACTCTACGTAAACGAGTTCAAACGGAACCAGTTAATACCTAAGTGGTGAAAACCTCTCGGAAAGAGACTGTAATGGCGTCTTGAACACTTCTCAAAGTAGAGATTAACCCATAGTAGGTTTGCCTTATGTTGTGTAATTAATACGTGTTAATCACTCGTAAGTAATTAGGTTAAATTACACTTT